AAAAAAAAAGACGAGAACACCTCCTTGCCAGCAATCAACACCCAGATAAACAGGGATTAACACCAGGATTAACACCAGAGGAACAATCAAGCAGTAAACAATACCATAATCAAAGAACTACCAACTCAGACAGACAATCAAGCATACATACTAACAACATACTAACCAAGGAACTACCAAGGAGAAAACAACATCTCCACCAACACTGGCAGGGCAAGCTACTGTATATAAACAGAGGGCAAACCCCACCCCCTTCTAGCACTGAACATGTTACCTAGATGGGTAACAAAACATCTGCAAGAAAACAACCAAGCTCAGAGAACCCCAAAGACTCCACAATGCAACCCTGAGCTACATATATTCTCTTCTATTGGTAAGCATTTTTTTCCTTTGGACAGCTTTAATTTCAATATTCAATTTACCATAATTTTTCTCTATGGCACACGGTATGCTTAAGGTACGGGCAATGCCTACCCAGTCCTATTATACCCCCCAAAAGTTCTTTATTTAGTTAATAAAACAAAACAAAGCCAAAATAAAATTATAGCTACTAACTTATATATTCAGAAATTAACCACTCTTTCCTCTATCTCCTTTTCTTTCTATTATTCACTTTTCTTTGGGCACTGTAAATCTGATCTTCTTTCAAACAAATCAATATCTCACACAGGGGCAGCTATCCCATTCTTAATGTAACAGCTACAGAAAGTTTCTGTTCAAATAGTTACTGTTCTTCCTATGAAAAAACATTGCTTTGGTAAGATTTATGTTCCAACTATAGCACAATACAATAAAAATGGTGGTTGACTGATATTTTTTCTCCTCCTCCTCCCCTTCCTCCCTTCGTCAGTCTTGACTCCTGGCGACTGCCTGTACAAGTCCCTGCAGTTTTCTTGGCAACGTTTTCAGAAGCGGCTTGCCCTTCCCTCCTTCCCAGGGCTGAGAGAGAGTGACTGGCCCAAGGTCACCCAGCTGGCTTTAAGGTGGGACTAGAATTCTCAGTCTCCCACTTTCTAGCCTGGTGCCTTAACCACTACACCAAACTGGCTTTCTTCTTCTAGACACTAGAAGATACAGAAGATACTAGATACTACACATATCTTCTAGTAATAGCAAAATGAAATTTGCAGCTTTCATTGTTCAATCGGTGTGCCAATTATTACTTTCTAGTTCCAGGCAAATTAGGCACACTACTTGACAATGGGCTCAGCCACAAAGCTTCCTGGCCCTGGCCCTGAGATGGACTGCTTACTGTTTACTAAGAGCACATCCTCACAACACTGTTCCCACCTTAGTGCCAGCTGCTTCTGAAGCAGGCTGAAGCTGGATCGAGGTGATCCAGCAGAAAAGTGACGTTCCAGGAGGAACAAGACCTCCTATCATGGTGTCTGCAGCAACTGAAGGTTTTGTAAAATGATAGTGCTTGTGTCAGGACATCACAAGCTCTACAAACTTGTGTATGAAGTCATAATGCAAGTACAAAAGAAGTGTGGCTTGTACTGCAATGCATATTTTGTCATTTGCTCCCATGAACATTTGTGCCCCTCCCATGAACATTCTGTCACATGGAAGAGAGCGCTTTGGAGGGTCAGTGACCTGCTGGGCTTCAATTTATCCACTGCAGTGCTGCCCCTTCCAATCCAGTGTAGGGCTCTAAGTTTCCTTGGCTATTTCCTGGGGCTGCCAGAAAGGCTGGACACCTCTCTTGTGCACCTTGCCTTTCTCTTTGTTTGGCAGGGGCAGACTGGTCTACCTACTTCGTGGAAAACCAAGAGCAGGTTTCTCACGAGGTGTTTTTCTCCTTGATAAGCTCTGCACAGCCCACTGCTGCATTCCACTATGTCAATCTCAGGCTCCATGTAGCCTGTCCACACCTCCCACAATGTCAACCTCTTGCTTTCCTCTGCCACCCTCACTGGAGCAAGTGCATGGATGAGAGGTGGGGGAGGAAGAAACAGCTCTAACTAAAACTACAGGGAGAACAGTCTTGCAAAGCTGCTGTTTCTGGAGAACAACAGAAGACCATAAACATCCTGAAGTTTATCCCCTAATCAGTTCAATAGTTATAATCAGTACAACATCGTAAGTTTATATTAGCTTTTATTTAACTTGGTATTTACTCCATCATACCAGGATGGCCATGAGTGAGGGAGAGATTCTTGATACCAGCCAGAAATGGGTAAGTACTGCCTTCAGTAGCGGCAGCAGCTAGCTCCCACTGGCCTCACCCTTGAGGTATGGGGTAAAAATAATACTGTGGGGGGTATCAGTTTTGAAAATGACATGCTTTCCTGCCTTCTCAATGATGGCAGGGAAAAATATTAATGTGACTGTGAAGAAGAGCCCAATGTGAAACCTGCATACACCAGCTAATGTGGGAAGCTGCTAGAATGATATGCAGGAAAGAGGGGTTTAGTGAAAAGTTTTGTATACAGGTAGTCCTTGACTTACGACCATTTGTTTAGCGACCCCTCAAAGTTACAACAGCACTGAAAAAGGTGACTTACAACCGGTCATCACACGTACAACCATTGCAGTGTCCCCACAGTCACGTGATCATAATTAGGGCACTTGGCAAGAAGCATGTATTTACGACAGTTGCAGCATCCCAGGGTCACATGATCACCATTTGCGACCTTCCCAGCTTGCTTCCAACAAGCAAAATCAATGGGGAATCATGTGATTCACTTAATGACTGTGCAATTTGCTTAACAACTACCACAAAAATGTTGTAAAATCGGGTGCAGTCACGTGATACCTCACTTAACAACTGCATCCCTTAACGATGAATTTTCTGGTCCCTGTGGTGGTCATAAGTCGATTATTTAGCAAATGTGTAGATTTTCCATGCAGGACTGACAGTTCTGAGTTTTAGCAGATGATCTTCATCATAACAATTGCAGCATAAGCACCTTTATAGATATAAGATCTGTACATTTAGGTTCACTGTTGTAATCTTAAATGTACAGAGCCAGGGTGGTATAATGGTTAAGGTGCAGAATTAGGTCTCGGGATACTGAGGTTCTAGTTGACCCTCAGCCAGGGAAGCTTACTGGATGACTGGATCAATCAGCCTGTCTACCACACAGGATTCTCTTATGGGAAAAGCTAGGAGGAAGGAGCACAGAATACATTGCTTTCAGCTCCTGGAAGAAAGGTCTGAAAATAATCCTGCCAGGTTTTTTGCAAGCTTATTCTGGAATACCAAACACACAAATCTTTAACACCAAAAGATCACACCGTTTTCAAACCATTTTAGATACAAACAAGGCAATAAAAAATTATTTGAGTTTGCACTTACTTGGAATATAAGATATCATAACCAGGATCAGAAATGTGTAATAGTCAAATGAGAAATTATATTTGTTAGGTAAACTAATAGAAAATAAACCAGATCTCCTGACAAAGGGCAGAGCAGCATATATCGTGAGCAATTCTCCAGTAACTCCCATTGGATATAGTATGATGAACAAAGTATACCTACAAAACCAAAACAAATATTTACATAGGGATAAAAATCAAAGAAGCAATTCTAGGCATATTTATCAGGTCGAAATCCCAATGACCTAAAGATGTGCACATTTAATATCCAAATTAATATAACATTGCTTATAATGGATTAGTTATACTGTGTTTGGGGATAAAATATTCAAAGTCAAATTTAATAAACTGCAAATTTCTCATTTCTAGGAACTCAGGCTGTAATCCAATAAACATTTACTCGGGTAAAGTCCCATTAAAAACAATGGGACCATCTAGACACCACAAACAGAACTGCTTTGTAATATAAGTATAGATTGTTGCTTCAGTAGGATTCTGCAAAGGATTTCCTGGACGTTTCCTTAATCAAAAATAGCAAGACGGTTGAAGGAGGGGACAAACAAAAAGGGGAAAGAGAAGCATGGAGACAAATGAAAGAGCCATTTGACAGAGAGGAAAAAAAAAGGAAAGGAAAAGGAGACAGTATATAGAAAAGAGAGACACTGAGAAATGCAATGCAAAATAAGTATGGAATACTCTTAAACAGCTTATAAACTATACTAACAGTCTATATCATTATACGCTATACTAATTGTTACTGTTATATAAAAATGTAATTGTTCATCATCAATTAGTTCTCTGAATATATGAGAGACAGAATATAATGACCCCCCCCCAATACAGGTGTGTAATCTAAATTAAGAAGCAACCGATTCCAATAACCAGTTGCAACTTCTCTTCTCCCCCCAAACATTTATGTACATGCCTCATTAAGCAAAACTGATCCAATCCTATCGTCTTTCTCCCGCCCAGCACAAAAGATCAGCAGCAATCCTAACCTCCTATAACTAACTGTGAAAAGACTGAAAGGGGACCAAAAAGTCTTTTGCAACCCAATCAAAACGCAACTGTTCTAAGTCATACAGCACCTAGGTGTTTCTAATGATTTTCAAACCCAGAGCAATTCAAATTCAAATCTAGAGAGAGCCAGTGTGGTGCAGTGGTTACCTCACCAGGCTAGAAAGCAGAAGAGAGTGAATACTAGTCCTGCCTTAGGCATGAAAACCAGGTGGGTGACTTTGGGCCAGTCACTCTCTCTCAGCACAACCCACTTCACAGGGTTGCTGTTGTGGAGAAAATAGGAAGAGGAAGGAAGGAAGAGGACAGAATAGGTATATCCACTGCCTTGAGTTATTTATAAAAATAAGAAAAGGGGGATTAAAAAAAATCTTTAAAAAAAAAATCTAATCTAAATTTAAATTCCAAGGCAGCCAATGCATCCCCATCCCAACTTGCTAGGGGTAATGCAAAACGCTTTACATACAAACCATTTCAACTTCAAAACTCCCCATTTCAAATACTAAATAGGCTGTTTCAATCCTTTTGGAAATGTTTCAGATTTGAAACAGACCCACTCTGAATACCAGTCGTCCTTGGGTTATCATGGGAAATGGGACTGGAATTGCTGTCGCTAAGCAACATGGTTGTAAAGTGTGATGTCACAGACCACATCACTTAGTGATGACACTTCCAGCAGTCCCAGTTGCCGTTAAGTGAAGACCTCATGTGACTGTGACTTCTGACTTCCTGCTGGCTTCCTCATTGACTTTGCTTGTGGGAAGCTGGCAGAGAATGTCAGAAATCACAGTCACATGACTGCAGCTCACTGTGAAGTTATACATGATTGTGGAGATGCTGCAATGGCCGGAACTCCGAGGACCGGTCATAAGTCCCCTCATTCAGCACTGTTGCAAGTTTGAATGATTGCTGAATGAGTGGTTGTTATCTGAGGACCACCTGTAGAAGACACTCTGCCTCTGACCTTAAAACACTTGCAAAGCATTTAAAATATTCAAACATCTGAAACAGCATTTTCATGCTCAAAATAGGTGCTTCTAATTCCAAATGCTTTTCATGCCCCTATTAAGCCCTTTCCTTACACGAAAGGCCTGTTTCTCTCTTACTCTCCTTCTTCACTGAGATACTGTTTCTTAAACTGGTAAATATCAATTATTTAATCACCTTACCTGGCCCACTTGATAAGATAAGGAAGGTGGTTTAGTAAACTAAAGGTGTAGAAAGAGTAACGGATGATCTCTGTGACTGTCCAGGCAACCACAAAAAGGAGGATGCTATCTTCACTTTGCACCTATAAAAGATAAATGCAGTGTTGAAAGCTGAAAATAAATTATATATACAGGTAGTCCCCAAGTTAAGAATGCCCAGTTTAAGGACAACTCATAGTTAAGAACAGAGTCTATTGAATGCCCAGTTTAAGGACAACTCATAGTTAAGAACAGAGTCTACTGTAGCAAAATTTGAGTTAAATAAACAATGATTCAAGTTAAATACACAATGGTTCGAG